AAACCCTTAACCCTAAACCCTATGTTTGAGGTTCCTAAAAGGTTGTATACGGCTTGGGTCATCGGTGCGGCAAGTCCGTAAAGTTTAAGAACCCTGGACATTCAATGTTGTAAGGTTACTTGAAATTTGAAATAAGTGCAGTACCACGGAATAGTCATAAGGTCACTTTAAGTTTGAAACAGGTGCAGTGCTACGGACAAATAGTCAGAATCGCTGCTTGTTTCTGCTTCTTCATAAAGAGGCTGGCTCCTTCCAATGCATCCCTCTGGAAGGGATCTGCCTCGGAATGAGACGAGTCTGCGAACTTACATGCCAGGTTAGGGTTAGGGTTTAGGGTTAAACCCTAAACCCTAAACACTGGCTCAGCTGTTGGATTAAAAACGTCAGGAATCAGGGCTACATGTAACATCAGCCCAGTTTGCGATCGAGTTCGATCCAGAAGCCGTCTCCGAGCAGACATTAAAATGCACAGTGGCGCACAGCTTCTCGAAATGAGCGATATTTGTTGAGGATCCTTGTAACAAGGATCCTGATTGATACTTAAGAACCGAACTCGTCTGGAGTTCGCTAATGCAAAGTGGCCGCACGAGTGCGCGCTTAACTTTCGCTGGGGTTTTCCACCTATGAACCCCGCAACCCTTTATGAACTTTTAAACTCTAAACCCTAAACCCTAAACCCTAAACCCTAAACCGTAGGGTTTAGGGTCTCGGGTTCCCTATTTCTACACCCGGAACCCGAAACCCAAAGCGTTCTGTGTATTCGGACGATCCGAGTCCTAAATCACACAACAAAACAAGGGTGATTAACGACCTCCGGCTCCTTCAAACCTAAACCCAAAGCCCCTAAACCCCAAACCCTAAGCCCCCAAGCCCTAAACCCTAAACCTCTAAACCCTTTAAACCCTAAACCTCTAAACCCTAAACCCTAAACCCTAAAGCCTTGAAACCCTTGAAACCCTTGAAACCTTGGAAGAGAAGTTGGCCTCCTCTCCATCCCACACTTCTCGCGGCACCGAAGCAGTTCTGACCTGCAGATCCAGATCCGGCTTGGGTTTAGGGTTTACAGGGCTTAGGGTTTATGATTTATAGGGCTTAGGGTTTACGTTTATAGGGCTCAGGGTTTAGGGTTTATTGGGCTAAGGGTTTAGGGTTTACCGTTTGGGGGTTTTGGCGAAGGGCTTATGGATTTTAGGGAATGGGGGAATGGGTTTAGGCATGGGGAACAGCAGACAGGACATCCCTAAACCCTAAACCCTAAACCTTTTGGCCGCCTTTAAGCCGTTGGCTAGGGAAAAACGGCTCTAGTCTATAAGGTATCCCCCAAAAGGAACTACAATGGAGACTATAGGTAGATGGAATGTGCCCCATGTCATCCTTCTTTAAGGGCAATGAGCTCTCCTAGTTATATTGGGAGTTAGGATTAGGGGGACCCTTTTGGGGATGTAGACCCTCTCAATAAGGTCCCTTTTAAGAGCCACAAAATTAGGGGGACCCTTTTGGGGATGTAGACCCTCTCAATAAGGTCCCTTTTAAGAGCCACAAATTAGGTTTTAGAAGGGTCCCCTTTAATCGGTCTCCCTTATACTACCTAAACCCTAAACCCTAAACCCCTAAACCCTAAACCCTAAACTGTCAGTAGTCAGAGCGAGGTTCCGGGTTCTACGATTCTGAACTCTGCCCGAAACCCAGAAGCCGAAACGGCAAGCCGCGATCTAGTGGAATTCATATAGGGGCCATAACAACTAGAATAGGGCTTTGGGGGCCCATTATACTATAGTTATCACAAGGAACCCTCAAAATGGCATTGGTAATCATTTAGGCCCCTACATTATGTTGCTGCTTTATGCAAGTGAGAGCCCCGGCGGAGACCTGAGCAATTGGATCCTCCGGCTAGGGAAAACTGTGACTCGCCACCCCTCAATTCTGTACGCAAGGAGTAGACAGATAGACAGAGAGAGAGGGAGAGACAGAGAGAGAGAGGGAGAGCGGAGGAAAGAGGGGGAGGGAAGAGAATCCAACAACGCTGCGAGCAGTGCATGCACGTCCGAAGCCTGAGAATGCAGGAGGACGTCTGTCGAGCCCTGACATCAAAGACCGAAGCGCATACAATGAAGACCCCAGCCCTAGGCCCTAGGCCCTAGACCTGGACATCTTAGAGGGCATCTTAGACCCTTCAGAGTTTGCAAGTTGGAAGAAACTGCGGATAGTGTTGCACAGGTTTGGCGGTTCAGGGACGATCCTTGATAAGTTGATAGGCTTGTCCTTGAAGCCCATGCCTAAAATCCCTAAACCCTCAACCCCTAAACCCCAAAAGCCCTAGACCCCACCTGCGTGGAGCTCCAGACATAGCCAGCAAGCGACCACTCCGGTGCCGATGGAAACGAAACTGCGCTCCTCAGGGGGGCACCCAAAGGAGCAGGGGACTTCGCAAGCCTAGGTTTCCCTAAGGGTCCATGTACCCCAATAGCATATACTTTGTCCTTGAAGTAGTCACCATCTAGGTACTTCGGGGCCAAATACTGTTTGGGTACATGGACCCTGATGGTTTCTAAACAAGCCAGCTTGAGTTCTATGACTGCTTGAAAGAACGTGTGACCTAGTACGTCTTGGACAATGACCTATCTAACTGTAGTCATTTGACTATCGAACCTCACTTAAGCTACATAAATCTGACTAAGTCCCCTGAGCCAGTAATCGAGGTTCTGCCTTCCAGGCTCCACCTGCAAATCGACCCTTACGTGTGTATGTACGTATGCATGCCTGCATGCATGTGCGTATGTATGACTGTATGTCTGTCTGTCTGTCTGTCTGTCTGTCTGCCTGCCTGCCTGCTTGCCTGCCTGCCTGCCTGCCTGCCTGCCTGCCTGCCTGGCTTTCGGGCTGTCTGTCTGGCTGTCTGTCTGGCTGTCTGCCTGCCTTCCAGGCTTTCTGGCTGTCTGGCTGTCTTGCGTCTGGCGGTCTGTCTGCCTGCCTGCCTGCCTGGCTTTCTGTCTGTCTGGCTGTCTGGCCGTCTGGCCGTCTGGCTGTCTGGCTGTCTGGCTGTCTGGCTGTCTGGCTGTCTGGCTGTCTGGCTGTCTGGCTGTCTGGCTGTCTGGCTGTCTGGCAGTCTGGCTGTCTGTCTGTCTGTCTGCCTGTCTGTCTCTCTCTGTCTGTCTGTCTTCTCTCTCCGTCTCTCTGTCTCTCTGTCTGTCTGTCTGTCTGTCTGTCAGTCAGTCAGTCAGTCAGTCAGTCTGTCTGTCTGTCTGTCTGTCTGTCTGTCTGTAGGTATGTATGTATGTATGTATGTATGTATGTATGTATGTATGTATGCACATATAAACATATGCATACTTCTATATATAGAGATGTATAGACGGATAAATACGTACATAACCAATAGACTAACTGATAAATTGTTAGATAACAAAGTAAAAAAACAAATATATCTAAATCAATAAATAGAATATATATATATATACGTAGATATGTCTGTATACATATATATATAGATGTATGTATATACACACGGTGCTAGAGGGTAGGACCCGGTTCTGTAAATATATATATATATATGTCTACACATGTATGTATGTATTATATATGTATATATGTATGTATATGTATCCCTAAATTTACCAAACAAACACGACTGACAACACACACAGACACACACACACACACAGAAACGCACCACATACACAGACAGACAGACAGACAGACAGACAGACAGACAGACAGACAGACAGACAGACAGACAGACAGACAGACAGACAGACAGACAGACAGACAGACATGCATGCATACATGAACTCATACATACATACATACATACATACATGCGTACATACATACATACATACATACATACATACATAGATACATACATGCATGCATGCATACATAAATACATACATACCACATACGTACGCGAATGCATACGTACATGCATACGTACATACCTGCATACATCATACGTACACACATACATACATACATACATACATACATACATACATACATACATACATACATGCGTACATACATACATACACACATACATACGTGCATATATACGTACATGCATACGCACATACCTGCATGCATATATACCCGCATACATACATACATACATACATACATATACATACATACATACATGCGTACATACATACATACATACATACATACGTACATACATACATACACACATACATACGTGCATACACACGTACATGCATACGCACATACCTGCATGCATATATACCCGCATACATACATACATACATACATACATACATACACATACATACACACACATATATACATACATACATACATACATACATACATACATACATACATACATGCATGCATGCATGCACGCATACATACATAAGATCGCACCCTTAGTTTAAGTTTAAACACCGAACCCGAAACCCGAAATGCCCGAACCCTAGACTCGTAAACCTCGACGCGCTGCCCCGAAGGTAACACAAAGCCGGCGCAGCCCCAGATGTAGCCACCGGGAACTTGCAGCACCTCATGCGTCTTCTTTGGCTGCGCCCACCTCTCAGAGCGCAAAGATAAGTCTAACATTTTACGAGCTGGAAAAGAACTTACTTAATCCAGTTGTGTTCCTTACCAGAAGGAAATTTTACACACAAGGTAATAGTATATAAAGCTGTTCATTTTTGAAAGGACATGTTATGAAACGAAAGAGCTGCGGCCAGGACGCCCTCCGAAAAACACGTCGCCTTTGCCCTTGGGCAGCTCTCCGATCTTTGGGCCGGTGAGGAGCACCACCACCTGGGTAGTTGTCAAAATTCGGGTCCCTTTTGGGGTCCTTATTATAATACGGCACCTATTATTTAGGGTACCCCAAAAGCGGCACCTATTATTTAGGGTTCCCCAAAAGGGACCATAATTTTGACAACCACCCACCTGGACCCCAGAGCTCTAGGCACTTCGTCTAGGAAAACAATTAGCCCAAGTAGCCTTTTGATACAGATGTCATCTACCTATCTATCTCCATCTATCTATCTAGCTATCTATCCATCTAATTATCGAGCCAATATACGATCTGAAGTGAATTGGAGACAAAGCTGTCAGGCTGGACATCCGAGCTGCGGAAGGCTCATTGGGCGTAACATCTGCCAGGACGAGCAGCACGGCCTTATGCAGGTACTGTGCTGGCGGCTGGGTGCCGGCCGCCTTGGCCGGCCTCTGATCAATAGGTCCACCCAGGATCCAATGGGAGGAGGAACCACGCAGGAGGCGGCCGGCCGTAAGGTTTCTGAGCATCTGAGGCTGAAGATCCGATACCGGGAGCGATGGATTGAGCAAAGCTGGTCGGAGGTCGGTCATCCACCGCTTCAGCGCCGCAGTGGCGGTCTTGCCATCGCCATCCATGGAGGCGAAGTCAAAAAGCCTTTCGTGCAGACGCTCCCAGCGGCTCATGCCCAGGTCAAGGCAACTTGCCGGGAGAGATCCGCCGGGAAAGAGAGCCTGAGGATCCGCCGCAGCCAGCAACCAGCTGCGGCCCACATTCAACTCCTGCTGAAGCTGACCACGGCGCCAACCACAATAGCCTGAGAGCAAAAGGAAGTCCTCCTGCCTCGCAGCTCCTGTTGCCACCATCTCTCTCGCCCGGCTGAAGGGGAGCCAGTTGAGGCCTGGGATGATCTCCTCTCCTGCGCGATCACGGTCGGAGTCGCAGCGGTACAAGCAAAGCAGCGTGGGCTGCTCTTGCTCCGCATCCCGTGCCGAATGCATGGGTCCACCAAAGGAGACTTTCCATGGCTGCTCCTCCACCACAGTGCCACCGAGGGTGGCAAGCAGCTTTCGCAACTGGAGGTCTGCCTCCTTCAGGGCATTGGGCTTGGGCACACCCAAGTCTTCTGCGGTCCAGTCCGATGGGCGGTTCAAGATCACACCAACGTCCCCGCCCTCGTCCCTTTTCAAGATCAGAACGACTGCGTTCAAGAAGTATTGCTGATCCAAGGTGAACTGGTCCCCTGTACGAGATATCAGCACTGAGCCTTTCTCGATGAGAGTCGTAGAATGCATCCACCCGGTACTCTCACTTGGCTTTCGTCGTGCACCTTTGCCGCTTGACTCTGATCGCTCCTTCTGCACCAGGCGTGCCCGAAATTCCCGCCAACTCGGCGCGAAAGTCACCCGGTCGTTCTGTGGGCGTTTGAGACCCTTGGATTCCGAGACGGCGGTTGCACAGGCAATGCCTGCGAGCACAGATGCGGCGACTTCACCCCATGAAAGGTCACATGAAAGGTCCGGATAAGAAGCCCTCGCTGTCCGAACTCCACGACTTTCCTTGGACATTCTCACACCTCTTGACGGTCGAATTGCATGTGTGCGGACATCTGCTAGTTGAGCAGGCATAGACACCGGCCGCCACACAAAGGCATCGCTGGCAAATGCCATGGCCGCCAACCAAAGGCTGGCAAGTCCAAGTGGACGTAGCTTGCTCATGCGCAGCGTGGTTTGCATGAAACTTGTTGCCTGCTGAATGTCGGACATGCGCTCAGTTCTGAATCTTCTCGCATTACGTTGTAAAGGCCCAAAACCGGAACGGGGAAGATATGTCTTGAGCCTGAGTAGATCGAGTTAGGAAGCTGGGGCAGGAACATCCGAGCAGGATGAAAAAAGTTGAAGAGGGACGCAGAGTCATTGAGAGCGAACGCAGTCAATGTGCAGCAGGCCTGGCCTAGTAGTGGCTCCAGGCGTTTCGGTTCCGCTCCATCAAGCCTCCAGGCTACAGAGGCTGTTCTGACTTGGTGTCGTCGCCTTCGGGATCTGTTGCGCCCGGAAAACGAAAACCAAACTGTCGCCGAGGCACTGCCGCTGCTTTCGCCCTCTGCCCTTGCCTCTGTCTTTTCCTTTGCCCTTGCCCTCTGCAGGCTCGGCCGGTGCTTGGGCCTCCGGAAAAACTCTGCACACGCTTCCAAAAGCAAAGGCTGCACAAATCTGGGGACCCTGGCCTCTTCAGGCGCCGGCACCTGCTCTGCCTGCGCGTGCTCACCGGTTGCAGAAAAAGCCTAGTTTGATGATCGGTTTCACATGCTGCGGCTGCAGGCATCGCCGGGTATGCTTGCTCGGTTGCTGCTACTCTTGCGGATGTTGCAGCATCAGCCAGTGACAGCTGTAGCCATGGCAGCTGTCCATTGGCCGGACAAGCTATGTTGCAATTATGCGTACGCGATACGTCAATTGCTGAGTGTCACGTAACTAAAGTTTCTCAGTATTCCCACCAGCCGCCATAACCACGACGACTTCTAGCACCCCAACTATATAATTCTTATAATACGACGACCACCGCCGCCACTACAATTGCTGCTCGTCATCGTACTTCTGCTGTACCATTAAGACAACTCCTACTGCAACTGAAACTCCTCCTCCACTCCTCCTTCTTTCCCACCTACCGCCTAATACTCCTACAACTCCTACTGCCCCTACAACCCCTTCCGCCCCGACGACTCCTGCTGCTCCTAGGGTAGGTTTTCTTTGTTGGTAGCGGTAGCGGTAGGGGTAGAAGTAGTCGTCGTCGTGGTCGTCGGAGTAGTAGCAGCAGTAGCAAGCAGGAGTAGGATTAGTGGGAGTACAGCCGTGATGGCCTGCGCTCGCTGCAAGAAGCTAGGGGGCCGGTAGACTTCGCCTTCGGCCAGATCGCCACCTGCAACCAGTGTCACGCAGAGTTGTATGACAGCCCGACAATGGCAGTTCCGACCGCTCCAGAAAAGCTGCCTGCAGGGCGCGATGCCTGCTCGGCCATGCTTCTCCTTTGTCAACATAGCCACAAAAACACAAGCACCATGAAGTCTACGTGCATCATATTCGCCGGTCGAACTTGTTTTGCCAAAGCTCTTCACCTTCTCCAGCTCTTTGTTGGTTCGTATGTGGCGCCTCGAGATAAGACTGGACGCTCAAGGCCACGGGTGCTTACAAAATCACGGGGATGAATCAGATAATCAGATCATGTGTGGTATATACGTATACTTACAAAGTACGTGCAGGTGTACATGCACAAACAAATATATCTCCACGCAGGCACACACACACACACACACGTGTGTATGTATGTATGTATGTATGTATGTATGTATGTATGTATGTATGTATGCGTGCATGTGTATATATATATATATGTATGAATGGGTGTATGTATATGTACACAAACATACACATGTACATACATACCTGCATGCATGCAGGCATGCATGCAGGCATATATGATGATAATAATAACAATAATAATAATGCTAAGAATAATGGTAATATATACATGTGTATACATCTGTATATATATATATATTTATGTATTCATTTATTCCATATATGTATATGTGTGTGTGCCTGTTGTATACACACATGCCTGTGCATGTGTGTGCATGTATGTTTGTTTGTTTTCATGTACCCCGTAATTACAATTCATGTGATTAACATTATATCATCTGGAATAATTGAAAAAGCTACATGTGTATCTATATATATATATATGTATACATATATATCTATCTAAGTGCGTGTGTGTGTGTGTGTGTTTGTGCGTATGTATGTCAATGTGTGTATGCATGTATGTATGTATGTATGTATGTATGTATGTATGTATGTATGTTGGTATGTATGTTGGTATGTATGTATGTATGTATGTATGTATGTATGTATGTATGTATGTATGTATGTGTGTGTGTGTATGCATGCATATATCTATATATATATATATATGTATGAATATTTGTTTGTATGTATGCATGTATGTATGTCACCTGCGTGTGTGTATCTGGATGTGTGTGCGGCTTGCGTCTACGTACATACATGCATATGAGAACCGGAACGACGTTGAAAGCTACTTGGAGGATCATGGGACTTAGTAAGTAAGGTTATAAGTCCCCTAATTGGGGTTATAAGTATAGTTACCCTAGTTATAACCCTACTTACTAAGTCCCCTGATCCTTTAAGTAGCCCTGGAGCCTCGGACTCGGCAGGCAAGGCACAGAAACATCTCGAGCTGAACCTCGGACCAAGGGGTTGAAAAGGCTTCGACTCGCGCACTCGCACAAGGCAGGCAAGTCTCAGCCGTTGTGCCAAGCCCAACCATACTATCATAAGCCGCCACCGACCCCTAACATGCCTGGAGCCGTCCGCAAAGGCGTGTGCCATGGAACTACGCTGCCCAGTGCGGAATTTTTCCCAAACACGAGCAGATTGCAAACAGTAGGGCCTAGGGAGTTTTCTTAGATGGCAACCGGGTCCCAGGGGCAATGCCTTTAGGATGTGTCTGTTCGGACTAACCTGGTTGGACAGGCAGCATTCACGAAGGCACCCATGTCATCCTTCGCTTCCACCGACTTGACGCGAGACTCGCCGAACCAGGCCTCTCGTCAGGTTGGAGTGTACAGTAGAACAGTAGATGAATGTTTAGTCGTCGGGGTAATGCTAGTACCAGTAGCAGCAGTAGCAGTAGTAGCAGCAGTAGCCGTAGCAGTGGCAGCAATGCAGTAGTCATACTATGGAGAGTCCTTTCGGATGAGTCCATGCACACTGCGAGCCTCTAGGTACGGGCATACATCGCCCCTGCCCGACCGCTTGTAAAGATATATCGTTTCCTACTGTTGCAGCAAACGACTAGACAGATGCGGCGCACAATACTCCTTGTGCCCCTCGGTATTGCAAAACTTGAAAGGTCACCTTCAAGTCCTGAACCCTAGATGATCGGCCTCGGAAAAACAGAAAGACCAGTCCCCAAAATGGTTAAGGCATCTTTTCAATCATTCCCTTCGTCCGAGGTCCTCCTGTGCCCGCTGCAGTAACATGTACCTGGTCTTCGGGTCCAGCTGTTCGAACTCCTGCACGCAGGAAGATCTCGGCTTCCGATCCCTGAAGATCGAAATCCTTCCCCTTCGATCGATGTGGCGTCCCGCCCTCAACCAACGCATGCTCAGGTCAAAGCAGACATCTTCCATGATGGAAAGTCGCGCTTCGCCACTTCAGACATAGACCCGTCAAAAGGGAGACCATGCGGCTACACCTTTCAGAGTGGGCGGCTGAAGCCTAGACACAATTGAACTTTCACCGAGTGTCAGCCTAAAACCCTCAATCCCAGAATCAAGCGCGGCTCCTCCAAGGCTACTGGGCCATCGAGAGGGACAGTGACAATTCCACCGCCAGGCAGCACATAGCCCTGGAAGCCAGTTAACACGATATTTCGGAACTGCAGCTGCGCAGGGGTCGCGTTGGGGGGGGGGGGTGCCACGCAATGCTTGAACCGCAGCTGCCACCAGCTTGGAGGTGTCCAAGCACTGGCAAGCACGCAGAAAAGATGTCCCAGCTTGCAGTATTACGGTCACACACATCTCGACAGATGAAACATTGCAGCCTTTGCCCAGCCCTTTCCCCACTTCACTGCCTTCCACTCGTCCGGCTGACGCATTCGACCTCTAGCATTTCGCCGATCGGGAACTTGCCTGGCCAAAGAGCTGGTTAGCCTTCGAAGCTCGAGTGGCTGGCATGCACGACAAGTATGACAAGTAAGCCCCTCATCCTGCTCGCGTCAAGGTCATCCTCGACATCGTCGTCATCTTCTAATAAGCAGAGCCGAAACATCTTCGTCAAGTTCATCACAACAGTAACAAGAGCAACGACGACGATCATAATGAGACTGACACGAAAGCCTCTGGCCGGTGGAGTGTTCGTCGGAGCTTGGAAGAGACGCCATCTGCTGCGAAGCTGCAAGATGTCTCGGAGTGGCTCATCCGGAAGTTCAGGAACAACAACCTGCAAGGATGTCGTCAGCCGACGTCGAGTGGCAAAAGGCGACAGGCTACGGCATGATGCGACAAGAAGCACCAGGGGGAAGCACTCTTGGGTGCCCGAACTCCCAATTTTGGTCTGCTCAGTGCCTAGCCATGATTAACGCCTTCTCTTCAAAGAACAAGTGGAAAAAACCGTGTCCCTTGAGGCACGTGGCATAGAAATCCACCGGGAGAGGAAAACCCCGGCAGCACAGATTGCGGCTATGCCGCCCCCCGGCCAGACGGGCAGAAAAAGAGGAACCCCGGCAACACACAGGGTGCGGCCGTGCCGGCCCCCGGCACAAGCGGGCGAAAGGATTGAAGAAAAGGAAGAATCCCGGATCCGATCCCCTGCTTCCGGTGCTGCGACGGCGAGGGAAAGAGGACCCTTGGACCACTAGCCTTTCAAGTATACGAATTGTCAGTGTGTGTGTGTGTCGACTTGCCTCAGAGACGCCGCGGCGCTTGGCCATGAAGCCACGGAAGGGTAGTGGCACAGTGCCATTACGAGTACCTAGGTCAACATCACCAGAAACAAAAGTTGTTGAAATACGGACGTGCATGCCATCTCGCCTCCCCCATCCTCCCCGCTCGAGAAAAAAGCAACCCCCAACACAAAATGTTCTTGTTCTC